TACCTCCTCATCTCATCTATTCATTTTTAATTGACTGAGAAAAAAGCGGTATTTGTCAACATTATTACACAGGACAAACCACGGCCATTTTGAAAAGTTTCTTTTCAACCAATTTCGAGGATTAATGGTATTTAGGCGTGTGCTCAAGTCAGGCTGAACCGTGTTCACTCAAGTATTTATTCTTTAATTGTTTTAAAGACATTTTGCCATCTTTTTAGTTCTTAAACGTCGAGTATTCCAAACTTTTTATTGTTTCAGCGTGAAAAGTAATGTATTATATTTTATTTTTTGTTTGTTTAACTATATTTTAAAAGATTTTTTCTCCCTTTTCATTACATTTTCCCATCCCATTACCCGATTTTGAAAACACCAAATTAGAGCACTTGTTGTAAGCTTTGGTTTCTAAGAAGTAATTGGCAAAATTCTCATCGATTTTTGCTTGAGAACGTGAGACCTTTAAATCAGTATCACAGTGGTCTCAACCTATCTAGTTGTATATTTCTTGAAACATTCTTTAGAATGAAAAATTATATCCTAGGTCTGAACATAAGAGGAAAGGAAATGAATAAATTATAAATATATATCATTCAACTCATATTTTTTTTTATATTTTGAAATATCTAAGGATCAGAAAATTGGAGTTTGTGACAACGACTTAATTCCTTTTTAATGATATTTAAATATCGCCAAAAATTTCTAAACTTTTATATTCTGCATTTTTCATAACTCCCCCCCCCCCCTCCCCAAACAGTTTGAAATTTTGTTCACACATTCCGTCAAAACTTTTACCTTTTTGTGATTCGCGCATTTATTGTTATTTGCACATTTTCATAATTTCTCTTTTACAACAAGGCCGGACATTTAACAATTTTAAATTCTAAATAGTATTTTTGTTGGCCATTTAATTGAATAGTGTCGTTAACAAATTTATAAAATTACCCTTTTAGCCTTCAACTAACAATTACAATATTTTATTTCTATCTCATATTTTGGCTGATTAAAGAAAAAGTAGGTTGCCATAGGTTTTCAAACCTATTCTATTTTCGTCTCTAAAACAAGATTTATTGCTTTCGCCAAAATTCCCTCAGAATTGCGATAAAAAACTTTTTTATTCAATTAGGGTACAGATTCCATAATTTTTTATTCAATTAGGGTACAGTTTACATCATTTTTTATTCAATTAGGGTACAGTTTCCATCCTTTTTTTCCTACTAAATCATCATCCCGGATAAAAAATCCTCTTATCAGTATTTTGTTGTCATCAATCTATACTAAACTTTTTATTCAGGAGGATATTTGTACCAACTCCATAGCTAAATAGAAATGCATAGAAAGTTTCATATATTTGACTTTTTATTCAAAAGAAATGATTCTTTATTGAAAACTGGAAAAAAAGTATGGTCTAATTACTTTTATTTAATATCTTGTTGAAAATAAGAAGAAATATGAATGGTTAATATTTATTTAAAATTCAATATCTAAACCAGATTATAAACACCAGCTCGGTAAAAATATTAGTGGAAGTAAATATTATTCTCTAATGTATATTAACCAATCTACACCAACCTTACATTAGACTAATATCAAGTATTAAAGGATTAATCTAATATTTAGAACGATAAATTTTCGGTGTAATTTCAAGTAACCCTCCATTGAAAAATGCCGATTCATAAGGTACGCTAAAAACCTTCATCTTGATCAATTTCGATGAAGATATCGTCTATCTTCTAGCCTTTATAGTGAATTAGACCTCGCACAATTTCCTATATTGTTCTGAAGTAGGAATCCGTAAGCAAGTTTTATAGAGAACCCAAGATTAAAAATAATCAATTATCAAAGTAAATAAAAAAACATGGATATCTTGTTCATTCTTGAACTTACACAGCTTTTAAAATGAGGTTAGTGAATCGGACATGCAACGCTATAAATGGAGGGTCACTTGATATTACGTAAATAGTCCCTTTAAATAAAGGCCAGGCAGATTTATGTTTTTTTCTCGTGTTAAAATCTCCTTATTTTGAAACATATAAGATCTTCATACAAAGCTTTAGTTGAAATTAGCTTAGCTTTAATCATTTATGAAGTACAAAAGGTACATTTTATAGAAAAAAGAAATGGAATATATTGTAATTCATTAATTGAATAATGTTGTCCTTAGTTAGATTAGGGTTGTTGATTAGTGAGGCAGCTATGATAGTGTTATATTAATTAGATATATATATATATATATAATATGTGTATATCTTTGTACCTTGTCGCTTCTAGTGTTGACATAACAAATTAAAAAAATTCTTATTCTTATTCTTATTCTTATTATTCATTGTGCCCCCCCCCCCCCCCCCTTCCTTTTCAATATTCCAATATTTCAATACACCTTTAACGTGCACTAGAATTAGAACTTTTTCTAAAAAGAGTTTAATAAATATGTTTATAGTGTATGATAAATGCTTTTTTCACCTTTTATATGTAAGTATTAGCATCTTACATATATTTATCCTTTGTTAACTACGCAATTTTATAACTATACTTTTATAGTAAATAAGAAATCTAAAATGAAATATATTCCAGTGTCTTTCCTCTTCCACTCAGTTAGGAATTTTTTATTTTTGTAATTTTACAACTGCTTTTTCACCCCTGAAAATAGAAAATCCTGAAAATAGAACTTCCTTAAAGTTAAAAGCGAAGAAAACAAATGTTTCACTTTTTTTGGTGATAACTTAAATCTTAATTAAAATAAAAAAGAAAGTTGCTAGAAATAAATTTAAAATATAATATAATTTAAAAAACGTCTTTTTACCCTACTTAGGCTTCTCCACCGTTCCGTTGCATGGTCTATAGAAGAAAAAATTATGGAATATAATTGAAGCCTGAATGATTTTCTTATTGGGTGCTATTTTATTTTAGTAATTAAAGGGTCCAACTTCCTAACACCGCGGCTTTTCCCTTTAAGAATAAAATGTTCTTGAAATATTTACAAACATGGAAGAAAAATTGTTTATGAAGAATGAGAAATATGGGACAAATATTGGATTTCAATATTTTTTCCTGACATTTGGTTCAAATATTTACTTTTTACATTTAATTTTTTGTTGCCTATTTTATTTTGGATGAATAGTTCTCTGAAATGATTTCGATTATTTGTTTATAAAAAAAAACCTTAAATCTATTCAAACTAAAAAATAATAATAGTTGGTTGAACTACAGAGGAACCCATATAACTGTTAAATAGGAAGACGACTGTTAGGCTCAAATTATGATTTTGAATAGTCAAATGAACCATTAAAAATAATAATAGTACAATTACAATTATCCTTTTTCAAGTAATACCAAAAAACTATTTAAATAATTTCACCATCAAATACACAATATATTGCTTCAATTTCTTATTCCTATTCCACAGCTTATAATAATATAAAATAATAATTTAAAGTAGAAGAACTTTTAAAACAATTTCGTGAAAAACAATATTTGAGAATGTTAAAGAACTTTCTACATTGGCGCGATATTCATAAATTATACATTTATAATTAAATATTACAGACATGTTATCTAAAAGTTTTGAGTATTTACATCACGTCAAATTAAATTATAAATTTTTATGTTTACTTAATCATAACTTCTTTTTTTTTGAAGAGCTATGGAGAAAAGCAAAAAAATTGAATTACGAGTATGTAACTAAATAAAATTGTTATTCACGTACTACGAGGTCAGAAAGTCATACCAATAATATCGCATAAATCTGACCTTTTTTTGTATTTCGGAGTGTAAATAGTTGATTGAGATAACGTCCGTTAAAATGTTTAAAATCTTAACTTAATCCCTCCTTGTTTAGGTGACAAAGGAACGTCTTCAGCTGGAGAGACATCTGCAGATTGCCAATGATTCTCTACAACGGAACAATGGAGTTGATCTGCACAAATATCTGAGTTTAGAGACAACTAACCTTCATCTGCGGAACCAGCTGGATAGCCTGGATATGCTACAGCAGGAGTACAAGCTGGTAGAGATACAACACAGGTAGAGAACACGTTTATTTTATACAGGGTGTCCAACATTATTTCGGATCGTTTATGGCTCTAAATTGCGATTTTCGGAACTAATCAGAATTTAAAAAGATTAAATTAATGAAAAAAAGTTGCATAAAAATTTGCATGCAGAAAAAACTAGGTTTTTAGAGTATTATGTAATTCAGCGTTTGAGATAATCCAATATGATATGGGACGCTCTGTATCCATTTGGTTTCTCTGTTTCTGTGTTTCTTTGCACATTGCACATTGCAGATAGAAAAACTCGGGTTGGAAATTAATTTCGATATATTTCCTCATCAGTTCTTAAAGAACGGTGGTTTTGTATCTGTTAAAACGGCTGAACCGATTGGGTCTGATTTTTTTGTGGTATCCTTCACATGACCTTAAGAAAGGAGTAGAAGTACGAAGAAAGGAGTAGAAGTACGAAGAAAGGAGTAGAAGTACGAAGAAAGGAGTAGAAGTACGAAGAAAGGAGTCGAAGTACGAAGAAAAAATGATTTCTTTTGATTAAAAAGGAATCCCCCTAAAGCCTATTTAATTTAATATTGCAAAATAATTAAAAAGTCGGAAATGAATAAAGAAACAGACAGTGTACACTTCGTACTGTCGCGTCTCCGAAGTCTCATCCATTGTGGGTAACTCTGTACATTAAATTAGTGTACTGTAGTGTATACGGTTATTACCAAGGAGAATTGAATAGAAGGAGGGGGCGATAAGGTTTCCGTACACTTTGCTGTGACGTTTTTGGACTGCTGAAGAACTAGTTTTTGCGTAACAACAATAATAAAGATTGTAAACAATAACACAAATGATAAACAGACATCTGGCGCATCTCATGTTTGTTTACATTTGATCGGCTGTCTTTGTTATTGTTGTTACGCAAAAACTAGTTCTACAGTCCAAAAACGTCACAGCAAAGTGCACGCATTATGCATACCTTATCGCCCCCTCCTTCTATTCAATTCTCCTTGGTTATTACGATGTTTATTGTGTTTACATTAGTGTTTGTTTGTGTACACTTGCTTGTCAACTTATGTAATACGAGATAACATGATAAATAAATTAAGAATTATGTCGGAACAATGAAGACAATATGTTGCAATATTTAATACAAAATTGTCATTGTCAAAACTATTTAGCTTAAAAATCTAAATTTTAATAAGTTTTAATAATGTCTTTAAAAAAATCAAATACTCTAAATACAAAAAGCCTATTTCTTGTATTTAAAATTTTGAATTCTGTTAGATCATATTGTCCAAGAGTATCTAAAAATACGTATGTTCAGAATTAAATTAATAATTAAACAGTTTAATTTCACAAAGCTAATCACATTTCTTTTAATCAAACTGCGTGTATATAAACGTTAAAGGGTAAAAAAGCACGTATATTTTTAGAATGAAAAATGCGCAGATATACCCCCTCCCACACACACTTCCATGTTAACCTGTTTTTACTAGCTCTGTCCTTTCTTCAGAACTATACACTGTCTCATTCTAGTTTAATTCAAGGATCTATATAATATAAAGTTCACACTGAATACTTCTTTCATTATTCTAACCCTGGATTATACTTGAAATTAAGCAGTTAATGCATGAATGCCTGAATAAGTTTACTGCCTAGCTGGTTCCGCTTGAAAGCCTTTTCATTTTAGACCATTCCTCACAGTGCTGCAGGAAAATGTTTGAATAAAAAAGCAAAAAAAGTAAGGATCGGGGGAAATTGAATTTTCTTTAAATCAAGAATTTTCTAAGAATAATAATTTATTGCGAAAAGAAAAATATAAAATAAATAAAATTTAGTTCAAATAATGAAAAATCATCCAAAATGAAATGCAAAAAAAAACAAATTACAGTGCTTATGCCAGTTTCTAAAACCTTGAACATTTTTAACCCCCCCCCCCTCCCTCTCCCCCACCCCTTCCGACTTTGCAAATATAAACTTATATATAAACCTTTCCCCCATCATCAAATGACATTATGATATCTGAAAGGACGTTCTTTGTTGCAAAATTTAACAATACAATAATTTATCTTGGTTTTTAAGTCTATAAAAGTAAATGAACAGGTTAGGTTTACCCTGAGTACCCTGAGAAATATCATCCAACGCAAACTGCAATTGCGCTATCCTATCACAGTTTGTAAATAAAAAAGAGAAAAACTGTCAAATCCCAACCTCACAATTAATTCTCTTTTTAGAATCTGGAAATAGTTATTCTTATCAAAATCTAAAAATATCAATATGGATTTCTAATGGTGGATTTTGTCAAAACTTTTACGAATAGTTTAATCGTTCTTATCTGATATATATGTACATTTATATAAATAAGGAATGTTTTTACCTAAAGCAAATTATTTCTGAGGTCCACCTATCCTAGTTTAGTTCTAGGCATAATTCCACTAGAGTATCCCCTGATATTACCCAGACATGGAGTCCTGCGGTCCTGCAGTTCTATAGACTTGTCGTGTTGGACCAATTATCTCTCCAGAAATACGTCCTTCCAACTGGAAAGTTTTCTATTATTTCAGAGTTAAATTATTACTTCGCTACTTTGTATTTGTATATTATATACACAATTCACATACTCATTCTGATTTACTCTTCATGATGTATTCTGGGTTTAGAATCATGGTTGTTTTACAGATTGTATGGTTAGATCAAGAAGATACGTATTATCTGGGGTTAGATCTCGAAGATCAGTATCAGGGTCTAAAAGATCAGTACTGTCTGGGATTAGATCCAGTAGATCAGCTTAGTATCTGGGGTTTATCTAGAAGATCAGTATTATCTGGGGTTGGATTAGATCAGTATTTTCAGGACATTACAGTTCATGTTCTAGTCGGATACAGAGGATGATCTGAGTTAAGGTTCCGGTCGGATACAGAGGATGATCTGAGTTCAGGTTCTGGTCGGATACAGAAGATGATCTGAGTTCAGGTTCTGGTCGGATACAAATTATGATCTGAGTTCAGGTTCTGGACGGATACAGAGGATGATCTGAGTTTAGGTTCTGGTCGGATACAGAGGATGATCTGAGTTCAGGTTCTGGTCGGATACAAATAATGATCTGAGTTCAGGTTCTGGACGGATACAGAGGATGATCTGAGTTTAGGTTCTGGTCGGATACAGAGGATGATCTGAGTTCAGGTTTAGGTTGGATACAGAGGATGATCTGTGTTCAGGTTCAGGTTGGATACGGAGGATATTTGTGTTCAGGTTCTGGTCGGATACAGAAGATGATCTGAGTTCAGGTACAGGTCGGATACAGAGGATGATCTGTGTCCAGGTTCTGGTCGGATACAGAGGATGATCTGAGTTCAGGTTCTGGTTGGATACAAATAATGATCTGAGTTTAGGTTCTGGTCAGATACGGAGGATGATCTGAGTTCAGGTTCTGGTCGGATACAGAGGATGATCTGAGTTCAGGTTCAGGTCGGATACAGAGGATGATCTAAGTTCAGGTTCTGGTCGGATACAGAGGAAGATCTGAGTTCAGGTTCTGGTCGGATACGGAGGATGATCTGAGTTCAGGTTCTGGTCGGATACAGAGGATGATCTGAGTTCAGGTTCTGGTCGGATACAGAGGATGATTTGTGTTCAGGTTCTGGTCGGATACAGAGGATGATCTGAGTTCAGGTTCTGGTCGGATACGGAGGATGATCTGAGTTCAGGTTCAGGTCGGATACAGAGGATGATCTAAGTTCAGGTTCTGGTCGGATACAGAGGATGATCTGAGTTTAGGTTCTGGTCGGATACGGAGGATGATTTGTGTTTAGGTTCAGGTCGGATACAGAGGATGATCTAGGAGTTCAGATTCAGGTCGGATACAGAGGTGATTTGTGTTCAGGTTCTGGTCGGATACAGAGGATGGTCTAGGAGTTGAGATTCAGGTTGGAGAAGGTCTATTTTCAATTAATTTCTATTACTTGGTTAAATATCTTACCGTCTCTGCTTTTGGTTGTGGTTGTCCAGGCGTAAAAAATACTATTGGTTTGAAAGCCTGCTTCTCTGCCTGAATGAAGGGCTTCAGGCTACAACACTGTTTTCTGTCTAGTCTTCATTTCCACATCAATTCTTCTTTGTTTTCTGCAACAAAGGGCTTAGGCTATTTAATTGAAGAATTTTATTCGTCTTTGTCATCTTTTTGTAAAACTATTAACATTTTTTATTAAATGACATTTTGGAGTGGTAGATTAGAAGATTGTTTGTAATGGAATTCTCTTTATTCCAAAGGATTGAAAATAGTTTTTAACGTTCTTTAAAGAGAATGTAGACTTAATGTTAAGTGCTCTATTAATAGAGTTAACTATTGAATTCACAATGGTACCCTTTAAAGCTTGCCTTGTCTTGTCAACAGCGCAAGAGATAACAATCATTGTCACTTTGAAATTGATTATTGTATGAGATATGTATCATTTTCACTTTGAAATTGATTATTTTATTAGGTATTAATAATTTTCACCTTGAAATTGGTTTTTTATGAGATATGAATCATTTTCACTTTGAAATTGATTATTGTACGAGATATGAATCATTTGCACTTTGAATTTGATTATTGTATGAGATATGAATCATTTTCCATTTGAAATTGATTATTGTATGAGATATAAATCATTTTCCATTTGAAATTGATTATTGTATGAGATATGAATCATTTTCCATTTGAAATGATTATTTTATGAGATATGTATCATTTTCAATTTGAAATTGATTATTGTATGAGATATGCATCATTTTCCATTTGAAATTGATTTTTTTATGAGATATAAATCATTTTCACTTTGAAATTGAATATTGTATGAGATCAATCATTGTCACTTTGAAATTGATTATTTCGTGAGATATGAACCATTTGCACTTTCAATCGTAGTTTCTCTATATAGTGAATTCCGTAATGGATGACATTCTAGAATTAAACACTTTTCAAGCTAGTCAAGCAATGATATCTTCCACATTCTTGAATAGATTAAATTTCTAAAGGGTAGCTTGGTG